GAGGAAGTATGACTTATCTGATGGGTGAATTGAGTTAAAATAAAGGAGCAGGCTAGGCTTGGCCCTTTGTCCTCTCAGGAGTGAGCTCCTCTTCCAGGCTGCCCTCCCACCATGCAGTCAAGTGAGGGGACCGGCCCTAGACTGAGATGCACTGCAGAAGGCTGCCTTGCCCTGGGCCAGCCACAACATGCTCTTCCTCTCTCTTAGCCTTCAACAATTGCAAAGATTCCACATCTAGCCCCAATCTCCCTAGATCCTTTGCTTCATTAATTTACCTAGAACCTGGGAGGAGGAAAACAAATTATTTAATGCAAACCCCCCCCATAAAAACAACAGCAATAATAATCTTAATGGATCATTAGAAAGAGCAAATGAGAAAATAAAATATACGCATGCTCAGCATGATGCCTACCAAATAGAGAATACATTTTTAAAAAGAAAAGGAGTCACAGAGATGAGTGCTGATTGATCAGCACAAAGGTCAACCTACTGAACATGTTAAACATCCCTGGTCACACTTCACCTGAGATTGGCAAAGTTCATACCATCTCTCAAGGTTTAGCAGTTGGTCCAAAGTCACAGCAGGCTGGTTTGCCAGCCCAGGCTGTTAGACTCCAGAGCCCCCGTGCTATACCTCCTAAGTGCCCTGTAAACAGAAGGTACTCAGGAAATATATGTGATGTTTCATACAGAAGGCTCAGAATAACTCTGGAAGTAAGAATCTCAGGCCAGCAAGATGTGTGAGCTGAAAGTGTACTGGGAAATCATCTACCACTGCCCAGATTTTACAGCCAGAGACACTGATGCTCAGAAAGAAAATGATCAAACCAGTGTCAACTAGAGTGTGGGGACAAGTGCAGACAAGGTAAAGACCAAAGCCACAGGCCTCCTGATGCAGCGGTCAGTATGCTACTCACCTGGATCACTCTCTCACATGCCTGCAGGCTGAGAATGTGCCCCCACCTGTTTGGTTTAAGATGTTTTTCCCTTTTCCGGAGCAACGTGTTCTGGCAGTGAAGGGCAAAACAAGCTTCTCTGAATGAAATCAGAGGCAAGAAGACTTTAACTCTGTGTAAAGTAGCCTTTTTTTTTTT